GTAGAAGCCCACCCCATGACTGTGTGAGGCTTTGGGGAGACATCCAGACACAAACCATAAGAGAAACCAACCCTCGACTGCTCTCAGTCCCAGGTTCAAACAATCAAACCTTCCTTGGAATGGCATCCAACCAATAACTCTCACCAGAGGGTATGGTGGGGACTTGGGCTGTACTCATTCACCAGTTGTACTTGCCAGTGTGTGCTACTGCTGTCTCTCTCTATGCTTATGGAGTCCTCTGCTTTCCCTTTTGCTCTGTACTTTCAGCCTTCCTTTCTCAGGAGCCATGAGCTAGGAGCTTGGGAGAAAGTGCAGCTTGTCCCTTCCCTTTCCCATATTGTGCGGTAGCACAGTTTTTGAAACCGATCTACATGAGACAGAAGACTATGTTTTATTTTTTTAGATTTCTCTTTAATTACTCATTTCCTTTGTTTGATACTATAGTTACCTAAATTCTTATATTACAGGAATATCATAGATCAGCTGCTCCCTTTAGGCTTTTCCATTTTTTGTCATTTTGGGTAGTGCTGGATTTGAATCCAGGGCCTGATACATGGTAGGCCCTGAGTTATATGCAGGGAGACATACTAGTACATGCACCACTGAGTTACATCCCCACCTTCTTTCCAAGTTATTTTGAGTAAGGAACTAACTTAAGCTTTTAAGAGATAACTCTGGGCGTTGAGTAGGGAATACACATGGGAGAAAGAGGCAAGAGAGTGGACACAGTGAGATCATGAGGTCAAAGCAATGATTCAGTGGAGACGTGATATTAGCGTGGGTCAAGGTACTAAGGCTGGCTGGGGTAAGAAATGGCAGGTTTGGAATACGAGCATTCAGGAGGTGATCTAATGTTTCCAATACGAATATCTCTTCTTCCCTTCCCTCCCATGCTCAGGTGTTGTCTCCCACTCTCCTCCTGGGACAATTCCGAGACGCCTACTCTCTGCCACTTCTGGGGAGCCAAGGAACATGAATGGTGAGACAGACCACAAAGGGCCCTAATTCCCCACCAAAGTTCATTTTCACTATATAAACTCTCTGCGAAAGATGTTTCCCCCAATTACCGGGTTCAGAAGCTGTACTGAATTAAAGAAGCTTCAAGGAACCCTTAAGCTTTCAAGAAACCCTCTCTGCACAGAATGGCTTCTCTTAGATACTACATGAACTTCCTGGGTTGCTGTGATAAGTTGCTTTACTACATTTTGTGATCTGAGGGTGGACAGACTCAATGGGCATGAGCAGACTGCACATGAAGTGTAATCCTAGGTGCAAAAGCAAAGAACCAAAACTACCTGTGCAGAAATTCTGAGATCATGCGCAACAGCTGACTGTGAAATACAAACTACTTTTTGTCTATTTAAGCTTTACTCCTGCATCCTCAGAGAGGTAATCTGAGAATTCTACCTTCTGTGCTGTCTCCCTTCTGATCAGGCATGAGCCTGAACTGAATGGTATTGCTTGTATCATTGTGATTTGTATCTTACAATGAAGAAAAGTCCTTGGACTAAATGTAACCATTTAAACCTCTCTGCTCCATCCTTCGTCTTACTGTCGGAGCCCCTTTGATCCACTGCCAGCTCTCTATGGCGACTTAATCCCTTCAATTCATGTTCTAGGGAATGGTAAAGAATTCTAGAGTCCTTGCCACACCTAGGACTCATCATGATGGTCCCTCTGTCCACATTACTGTCTTGGTTGTCTTTTTTCCCTGCTCCAGTCTGTCATCAGATGAACAGCCAGTCACCCTTCCTGCAGGTGCCCCATAACCTAGGAGCCCCTTTTCAGTTTTCAAGGGAAGAAGGAAAAAATTTTCATCCATCCCACTTGATTCACTATCTGATTTCCCAGAACTCTCTTTGACAGTTTCCTTCTTGGACAAATGAGGGGCAAAGGGATTTCTTTGGATCACACTGGGAAGTGGTGAAACAGAATCTTTGGCTATAAATAAGCCAGCATTTGAGTGGCCCTTTTTAGAACAGTGATTGTGTAATACAAGCTTTCCCCAGAATTGATTTTAGTTGCCAATTTTAAGGCCACAATATAATTCCACTCACTCTTCTATTAGGGATGATTCTGAGGTTTGAGGCCTCATAAAAGGGATGTCATTTGCTGAGATGGGAGAATGCTGAGAGTAGGAAAAATTAACAAAGAAAATATAGGTTTTGTTTCAGGCATTTTAAATTTTAGATGAGTACTAAGCAACTTGTGAGGATATTTGTTTAGAATTCATGGTAGAGGTCAGTGCCAGAAACACACTATGGGACAAATCAAATCAGAGTGCAGGGGAGATACAAAAAGAGATCACTAGAACACACACAGAGGGCAAGAGAAGGGGGCTAAGGACATCCTAGGTATTTCAACATTCACATTTAGGAAGAAGAGGTGAGGCCAGCAATGGAGACTGGAGTAGTCAACATGGATGAAGATGACAAGGATATAACTAGTCCCTGAGGCCAAGTAGACTGACCAAGGAGCGCTGAATATGTCAAGGGGCAATAACAAGAATGGTTTCCGTAGAACAGTGGCGTAAAAAGCCTAACTGATGTGACTTGAAGAAAAAATGAAGACAGTGAAATAGAGTGCATACTGATAACTTGAATTTTGCTTTAAAGGGGAAAGGGAAAATTGGAACAACAAGTGGAGGAAGATTTAGGATTAACGCAATACCGTTTATTCTGTAAGATGGAATGTACTGCACAAGATTTAATGCTAATACAAATGTAGAAAAGGAAAAAGTCTGACGGAGGGAAATGAGCAAACAATTACAATTATAATAATAATAACAGTTAAATAATAGAACGTTATAATTTTATCCCTAAGTAATCTAAAAGTAAAAAAATATATATATCATGTAAGTTGCTGTTAAAGGTGATGAAAATTTCAATTCAAATTACTTGAACCCAGGAAAAGGAAATAATTTTGTCATACAAATATCAATGAGAAGCATACATGATGGATCACAGAACTGGGAGAACATTCTGAGAATCTAGAGATTTACCAAGTCTTTTCCACCAGTTGCCTCGTGTCTTTGTTTTGCTTCTCAAGAGTACCACAGGCTTCCTATTGGTTAGGATTCTCTACAGGAGCTGAATTGTTATAATATGTGTATAATTATGCAAAGGGATTCATTAGGTAGGTTACAGGATCTAAAAGTGCACAATGGCTGCTTATCTGCTGCAGACAGAGAGGATCTAGTAGCTGTTCAGACCAAGGAGATAGAACCCACAGAATAAGCAAGATCAAGAATGCAACAACAGTCCAAGGTCAAAGACCTGGAAGGGCCCTGGAAAGTAGCTGGTAAGAGTCTGCACTGGCATGCTGAAGAAACTAGAGACGATGTCCAAAGGTGAGGGCAGCAAAAGACACACCCACTAAGATTGGACCTCCTTCTAAACACACGAACTTCCTTCTTTCCCTTTTTGTAAAATTCCACCCGGGCTACAAGCCTGTTGGTTGGTGCTGCCCACACCACAGTGTGTCTTCTCACTCAGTCTTCTGGTCTACATGCCAACCATCTCCACAGACACAGCCAGAACTGTGCTTCACCAGCCTGCAAGGCATTTCCTAATGCAGTCAAGTTAACATCATGACTAAGGATCGTAGGCTGGACTAAGCTTTTAACACGTGAACCTTTCCATGACATACAAGATTCAAAGTTAGTTTCATATTAATAGGAGACTTTAGATAAGATCGTGTCAGCTTGCAGAATATCAGAAGTGTGCTCACAAACTCGAAAGCTTGTGTACCTCTTAAGTGATATTATTCCATGTGTAACATGGATAAGCAATCAGAGATCAAAATTTAGCTAGTCAAATCCAGCTAAGCTGGTGTCACCTTGAGCCAGATCACACCAATGTCTTTCTGATTCATCAGTTTGAACAGTTTTACTGCTTTCACAGGCAAGGGGAACTCTGTGCACAATTTAGATGTTAATGAAGGGTACCTCCTTTTCAGCTTGGAGTCTAAAAAATGCAAATCTCGTGGAAAGAGAGGTACCTTCATATCGATAACTAATCCCAATAGTTACAAAAGAATGAATGTAACTATGTGGACAGGACACTGCCCTTCACAAGCAGTTTTTCATTTGAGCCTCCCTATGTTATTGTTTGTGGGTAGAGATAATAGAAATAGTCACCCGGGGTGGCTGAGGGCCCCGCCCTGGATTCCACAGGTGGGTGCAGCTCCCGGGCTCCTGCTCTTGGCCCTACACCTCCAACAGCTTCTGAAGCTGCACTTTCCCCCTCAACAGTCAAGCGTCATTTGTAAGGTGATTTCCAAATTTCAGCTGACAAGAGCCAAACGAGTTTGGAAAACGGGTTAATTTGGCGGTGGTGGTATCACTCTCTGCGTGGTTCACCCAGCTAAAAAGAATCAATAAAATAGAAAATGAAAAAATTTAAAGGTAAAGAGGCGCTGTCGAGGTGTAGCTCAGTCAGTGACAGCCTAGATGTGCAGGGCTGAGCTACAGCCAGGCGGGAGGTGGGAGTTGCAGGGTGGGCGTGGAGAGGAAGAGGAAGGCGCGGGCAGAGCTGACTTAGGCTTGTTTCTCCCCCAGGCACAAAACGGAGTCTAGAAAAGTACCGGCCTCAGAACCCCTCTTAGAATTCATACAGCCTCACAGATGCAAAGTTACCAACAGAACTACCGCCCAGTAACCGCGTGGTCCTCGCCCTTCCTCGGGTGACTCCTCTACACTGGGCACACTCTGAGCACACCCGGCCTTTCTGGTTGTTCCCAAACTGCGAGCTGCGCGCGTGACTCCGTTGGCACCTCGGGCGGGGCG